AGATGATGATGATGATGATTATTATTATTATTATTATAAAATCTAGCCAGTGCATAAAACCAGCATAAAACATCAAGCAGCTTAACTTCTCAGCCTAAAAGCAGACTGTAAAAATATTAACATCAAATCCCTTAATTAAAAGCCTGAGTAAAAAGAAAGGTTTTGGCCTGGCAGAGTAGCAGAGACACCCAGGCAAGCTTCAAGGGGAAACAGGGTTGCCAGGTCCCCTAATCAATCTGGAGGGGAAATCTGGGGGGCATTCTGTGGGTAGGCAGGGACGTTCAGCGATGTGATGACATCACCTAGAAATGAAGTTATTGCATTGGTGATGCCGGGGCAATGCTTTGGTTTTTGGGTAAAACTCTATGGTAAATCTGCTCTCAAACCATAGAGTTTTGCCCCCAAACCAGAGAGTCCCTGTGTGATGTCCCCAGAGCGATGATGTCACTTCTGGGTGATGTCATCACACCTGGGACTTCATGTGGCAAGGTCTCTGTTTAGGAGTGGGGTTTCCCCTGCCGGCCAGCTGCTCCGTGGCAGGGAGATGCCCCCCAAACCGAGGGATCCCCCGCTCAGACTTGGGGGGGCTGGCAACCCCAAGGGGAAAGGATGTTCCACAAGCAAGGTGTCACTGCCAAAAAAGCCCAGTCTCTGGTTGTCAGCTAGGAGGATCTTTGCTAGTGGACTGGACGTAAGAACATAAGAGAAGCCAATGTTGGATCAGGCCAATGGCCCATCCAGTCCAACACTCTGTCACACAGTGGCCAAAAATACCAGGTGCCATCAGGAGGTCCACCAGTGGGGCCATTAGACACCAGAAGCCCTCCCACTGTGGGAGGACAGCATGGGAGGATGCAGTTCTTCACGCATCCCTATCCCAAGCCATGTAGGGCCTTAAAGGTGAGAATCAGCAGCTTGAATTGTGACTGGAAGCAGATGGGCTGCAAGTGCAGATCTTTTCAGCACTGGAGTGATACAATCCCTGTATCCCGCTTAAACTAATCACTGGACTATCAACATCAACTTATCTGAGCATCACAGTTTAACTAACTTGATATTTATTTCTGAAGTCCAATTACTACAATCCAGCAAGTGTATGAAATAAATGCATAAGTGCAGTTTGTAGCATTCCCCCCCCCACCTTCTTCTTCTACAGAACAGGTCCCACTGGGGCATACTAAAAAACAGCCCTCAACTGGACAAGGTTAGAGAGAGGTGACAATAAAAACTGGTTATAAAAAGAAAAGAAAATCTCACTAAAATGCAATCTCAGAACCTCTTTGCATCATAACCAATGTTTTCACACGATTTTTCAGACTAAACTGACATTCTAAATTTGCTTCTGAATTCCTGCGCCCCCTTCTTCATAAGATTAAAATACCGGAAGCCCCTGAGTGCTTCAGAGAATACTAGCTTTTCTGAGGGCAGACATTAGCAGGGCCACATTATGACTTTCGAGGGCCCTAGGCACACTTTTTCCTTTGTGGGCCCCTGCCTCCATAAAAATAGTTAAAATTATATTTTATGACTAAGTTGGTATAAAGACAAACTGGATTATAGTTGTCTTTATGCCGACATAGTCGAAGTATGTATTAGGGCTGTGGAGGTCTTCAGCCCTAAGAATTCATTTTTTCCCTTCTGATTTTAAAAGAAATTAAAACATTTTCATTTCATGGGCTCCTAAAAGTATTGTGGGCCCCGATGACAGAGTTTAAATATGCAAAGGCAATGGAGCACTGATTGTTTGGAGAAAAATAAGTAGGTTTATTTAAAGAAGAACAAACTGTTATAGAACATAGAAGAGAGAGCCTTTACTGTCTAGCCTAACTGCTGTGAGAGGAACAACAACAAGAGGGAGCTCTGCAGGAACAGGAAGTCTCCAGAATGGCCAATCAGGAGACAGCAAGGACATAATTTGAAATTGTGGGCAGTACCTAATCTAGCTGTGCTAACTACCAGTCCTCCAGCCATCTCCCTGTAGGGTGATCTTCAGATCTTCTTCATAAGGCTGCACTAGAGACCTTGCCTATTCAAACAGGTCCTAGGCACTGTGCTTGCTGTGCCTAATAGATAGGCTGGCCCTGGACATTAGTCTGCTGGTATTCTTGATGTGTGTACCTAACACTGAAATGCTAACCCTTTTCATCTAATTAGAGAATTACGGAGAGCTTGCAAACAACATGTTTAAGCATTCAGGATAACTGACAGAAGGAATATTGTTGAACTCTTTTCCTGCACAGTTTTACACTGATTATATTCCACTGGCTTGTCTTGGGCTTCTTTTGTTGGCAACCACTTCTGGGGGAGGACAGGAGGAGGCATAAGCACCATAAAAAAACCTTTGGCATCTCTCTACTTGCTAATCCTTGAGAGCACCCTATGAGAAGAGCTGAGAAAGGTAAAATGCCACGCTGCCCTTTGCAACTGGAAAGCAAGCATACATTTCCACTGGCAAGGGAGGACAGACGTAACTGACTGCAGCTCCTAGCTGATCACAGGCTATGCCTTGACAAAGCATCATTTCAGAACTTTACAGCAATTAGAGGAACATTTCCAGGAGTTTTATGAGAATCAGTTCAGTCTCACAGTGAAGAAGTATCATACCAGAATCAGGAACACTTATGCTGACACTCCAACATTGCCATGATGCTCACCGGGCAAATCTGGATGTGTCTGTCTCTCTGTGTTGGGGTTGAAGATGATATGCATTTATGTCTAAACAAGTATATGTCTTCCTGCTTTCCCTTTTGATTTAGAGTTTCCACATATAATCCACATGCTCATCTTTTAGCTATCTGTGCAAACAGCCACAAACATACTCGAAAATCACAGCACACCTGCTTCTGAAGCCGTTCCATTTCCTCCCTCTCTTTCTGTTCTTTTTCTTCAGCCAGACAGCGCAGCGCTGCCTCTTTCTCCTGCTCCAGTTCTGCCTCTCTTCGCTTCTGCTCTGCCTCCTGCTTATCAGCCTCTTCCTCTCGACGAGCTCGCTCTTCAGCTATCCTCTGTGCCAGCTCCTCCTTCTTTTGCCTATAAAGCATCCAGAACAGAGTCAGACATATGTATGGGATGAGGGGCTCCGGATAACACAGGGCTATAGGATTGCTTTGAAAAGCAAAAACATTAAAAATAAGTAACTGTCTTAAAAGTTCAGAAAGAGCAAGATTTAAAATTCCGAGAGAAAACTGTCTGCCTTTCTTCTCTCACAAACTCAGGGGGCTTACAGAGATTTCCCAGAAAGTCTCCTATTCAGGCACTGACCAAGGCCAGGCCTACTTAGGCTTCAGCGAGGACAGGTGGCTGCCTCATATGCTCTCCCAACTCACCCTGAGACCAAAACAGCAGACCACAGTGACAGCTTTACAGAAAAAAAGGGGAGAGATGCTTCCCCCCACTATAACTCAACTCTTAGAAAGAGAAGTAATACCTGGATATAATGCTAAGTTTGCCATCTCTCAATGGAGTGACAGACTTGCTCCTCAGAAAGACAACTCAATGTAGAGCCAACAGACACATATTCTAGAACTAGACCGCCTCACACTGCAGAGAGGGGAACCTGCAGAGAGATACTGATGAGGAGCCCTTTGAGCCAAGCAGTCGCCCTGTTTGGTGTAGTGGTTAAGTCTGTGGACTCTAATCTGGGAGAACTGGGTTTGATTCCCCACTCCTCCACTTGCACCTGGCTGGATGACCTTGGGCAAGCCATAGTTCTGGCACAGCTGTCCTTGAAAAAGAGCAGTTTCTGTCAGAGCTCTCTCAGCCCCACCTACCTCACAGGGTGTCTGTTGTGGGGAGGGAAAGGAATTTGTAAGCTGCTCTGAGACTCCTTTGGGTAGTGAAGAGCGAGGTATAAATCCAATCTCTTCTTCTTCCCTGGACATGCTGCTATCAGGGCTGTCTTTCTGAGCATTTGAGCCTGCTTTCTTATGTCCAAGACAGTTTAAAAGCATAACTCTAAAACTAGTAGGTTTTATTATGCTTATGCCCAGCCTTGAATCAACACTTCTCATCCTTACTAAAAAAGTCTGACCACAAACATGACGCAAGCAGGAAAAAAAGACAAAAACTACCAGTAAGAAGATGATTTGACTACGTGAGATGATGGTCTGAAGCAACCTAACAGAGACAGTCCACTTCTTCAAGGGAAATCAAATGTCAACTGAGCCGGAAGAGATGGGCATCAAACATTTATGCTGCATAACCCTAGCCACTACGTTTTTGCTACTGGACGCAACCATACATGACACACAAAGCAGTGCTTGCTTCAAGAAGTAGGGACCATCTCATGGGAATGAAGTTAAACCACACAGCTTTTCTCCTGGAAAAAGTGGTCCATAAGGAAGCACTAAATACAAATGGTAGAAGTCTTACAGTTTGATCCAGAAACCATTAAAGGGGAATATTCTGTACCAAGCTCAATTAGCCCCAATTTTTTTTTTTTTTTTGGGGGGGGAATGGAATAAACTTGCTGAACTTAGCTGACAAACTGGTTCAGTTAAGTAGAAACACTGGGATACAAGCCTATTTACTCTCCTTAGTAAACCACTGCAGTTAATGGCTGGGATCCAAAGACAGCACAAGCCATTTCCACTTGCTCAACCGAGACTTGTACTTGTGTTTCTCAAACGGCAAATCCTATGTTTCATAGCAAATTGATTTTGAAACTGAGGCTTTCACAAGAACTGTGTATGGTGTATGTTCAAAAAAAGGTTGTAAACCCCCCACTGCACATACCCAATCCCTGGGACATGCCTTAATTATCTCTTTGGATTCCAGCCAACAGATCCAGACAATTCAAAATGCAAAGGCTCTTATTTCTCTAGGCTGCAGATCACATAATACCCACAACATCTCGGACAGTGGCAGAAGGGCAGCTGCTCAGCTAGTGTAACACGGTTCACCTCCATCACTTGCAGAAGACAGATTACTCCTTAGCAGGGGTCACTTCCTGCAGAAGCGCACAGGAGCGGAGCTCCGGCAGTAAAGAGCCCCGGGGTGCAGGCACATGCAACAAGCCCCATCCCCTGCTCCCAGCAGCCCTCAGTCAGAGCAAGAAGCAGCCAGGTAAGTTTCAGAGCCCCCCCCCCCGGCCCCCTGGTCCAAAACAGTCCAGTGGCACCTTTAAGACCAAGTTTTATTCAGGTAGAAGCTCTCCCTCCTCTGTGAGGACAGATCTGCATGTTCCCCCCCCCAAAAAAAAGCTAGCAATCCAAAACAGTCCAGTGGAGCCTGAGTGGTGGGTGTTGCCTTCTGACACACTTCCAGTGATGTCAGGGGGTGTGGCATTTGCAAATAAGTTATGCTAATGAGTTATGCTAATGAGCTCCTGCACCTCTTTTTCTACGAAATGACCCCTGCTCTTTAGACAATGTATTGATTGCACAGATCAAAAGACAAGAGGCCTTTGATAAGCACCTTTTTTGGCCTTATCAGCTTTAGGGTCCACAACATGGAAGGGAATAAGATATGATAAAATGAATCTTTTCTGCTCATGAACTGGAGAGTGGTCACCTTTCAGTTGCTTCCCTCTCCTTTCTTTCTTGCTCTTCCCGTTCTCGCTGTTCCCGGGCCAGTTTCCTTTTTTCAGCAAGCACTCTGGCTGCTTCTTCTGGGTCTGTTGTCCCTGCAGAAGGCTTGCTGCCGGGAGGAGACGGCGAGGCAGCTGAAGCAGGAAGGGATAGAACTGAGATAGCACCTGATGAAACAAACACACCTTTACCATCCCTATTCAGTCAATTTTTTATATTCTGCCTTCTCCCCAAGATTCCAGGTGTCAATGTGCCAGAAGGCAACAATACACATCAAATATATTAAACAATAGTATCCAGACAGCTACCAGCAGCCATGGACTTGATAAAGTGACACAAATTCAAGAACAAGCTTACCAAGAAGCCCTATAGAAAAAGCCCCACCTTTCAAGACATTCTATGATTTTTTATGGACGGGGTCCTGCAAGTTTCCTCAGGAAGACTGCTGCACAGTGTGGGAGCAGCAGCAACTCCGAAGACTCAAGTACAAGGAGACGCAGATTAAACCATTCTATGACATACTGAGCAGGCATCAGTCATTAATGTAACTGGTCAAATAGGCTTTTAACCATTAAATGCACAATCTGCACATTTGAATAGCATGGGATCTGTGAGCTGAAGCAGAGTGCGGCTTAGTGAGAACCAAAACAGACTGATATACCAATGGATGGCCTTAGTAATTCTGGTGCCCTGGACAAATGTCAGGGATGGCACCCCAGAATCACTGGGTGCAGGGGGGACAATCAGGGCAGCACCCCCCCCCCCAACAGCTGCCCAAGACCTTTGGCCAGGCATTTCTCAGGCTAACATACCTCTCAGCGTTGCTGATATGAGGATAAAACAGAGAAAGGAAGCTTGCTTAGAGTTCCCTTAGGGAAGAAAAGCAGACTATAAAATATCTAAATAAATACTTGCAGAAGTCCAGAGCAGGATTGATCCAAAAGCTTCAAATCTGATTTAAATGTCTACCAAGCAACAATGGCACTATGAGAAAGAGAACTTCTGAACAAGTGCAGTGTGACTGGGCAGGCTGCCAGCCAAGGCAGCCAGTCTGAGTCTCCCCTGTCTCATTTACAAATGCAGCTGGGTCCCAGCAACAGTATTTGCTCCTGCTGCTGCAGGAAGTAGCTTGTATTGCTTGGCCCTTGACAGCACAATGGGCGTGAAGCACTTTGAATATTATTGGTAATATTCCTATGAAATTCTTACCCATTTTTCCCTTTCACAATTACTCCCAATTTCAATAAATCGAAATGACACTAAAAATCGCACAATAGAATGGAAGCTACATTGAATGAACAGAGAAAGGATACAACCCAAGAGGAAAATGGTGAGTCTTACTGTGTATGGTCTCTGGTTTACTAGGTTCTTCAACATTTGCAGTCTCTCTGGGATTTGAGATTGCCTTCCCCTTGCCTGTCTCTTCTTCAACTGCCTTCCCAGATTCCTGATTTTTTCCTTTTTTCGCATTTTCCTTTTTTTTCTCATGTTTGACAGGTCGAATGTTGCCAGGAGAAGGAGGCCGTTGCTGAGCAGAGGAGATTCTTGATGATCCAGGTGTTGTGGTTAGTTTTTTGGGTGTTCCAGGCAAAAAAGGCAAAGACCTGGAGGCATGCCTATTTCAACCAGAAAGACAGCAGTGATAATGGTAATCATTTTTTGTTGTTTAGATTTTACTGATTTTTTTAAAGCCTACAACAATTAGCAATGTCTACATTTTCTCTTATTACATGAACAATGCAATCCTAAACAGAGTTACTCCAGTCTAAAACCACTGAAATACTGGAGTAACTCTGCATAGGATTACACTGCAATTATACTTATCAGGCAATAGTTTCCTAGTAGTTTTCATTAAGTTCATATGGAGGTCACTGAAATTCTCCAGCTGAAATATTTGTTACCATGAAAAAATAGCTCTGTTTAAAGGAAAGTTGTTATCTATGTAATCAACTTCTATGACCATTCTTTTGTTCTAACATAAACGTTATCAAAACAGTTCTCAAAATGAGGCATATTCCATCAAGGAGTTACTTACCAAGCAGATGATTTACTTCTAAAAGTAGATGGTGAACGAGCTCTTTTTTTGCCAGAGGGATTAGACAATGAGAGGCCCCTTTCCTTTCCTTTTCTGTTTGCCTAAAATTTAACAAAAAGGATAAAGCAGCCATATCACAGTGCACGCGAATACATAATATATCTTTGGATGTTTTGTTCGTCTTAAATTTAATCATGAAGTTGAGGTTGGACTATTAGCTGTCCCACAAAAGGACTGTTGGAAAAAGGACTTTATGAAGCGAGATGGGTTTTGATCAATGGGTTGTAGTATCTAATACGGACTGCTAATACTGCCAGAAAGGCTAATTTTTGAGGAAGGGCTCTCCCTAATATCCATGCCCTTTTCATATATAATATTTTACTTATTTATTTTGTTTGATTTATATCCTGCAAGCGGTCTCAGGGTGGGTTACACAAGTCAACTCAGCAAATGTAGTGACTATAATATACAATAAACAGGCTTAAAATAGTTACAACATAATTAAAACAATCTAAAAACAGTCTTGGTTAGGGCATCAGATAGCTGAATGATCGCCCTGTAGACAATGCTGCAGTGGAAACTCATTTGGTGGAGTCTCTAGATGTCTAATCACTATATTCCTGTATCATACATCTGATTCAGTTTGCAGTTTTGTTTTTGTAGAGTATCATGCAGCAGTGCCTTTCAATAAACCATTTAATTCATATCAGAAACACTCTGGAGCCTGTGTTCTCTCCACTGACAGTCACATTACCCATGGGGAGATAAGAACCCAAAAGAACAGAGGCCTCATGCTTAAGGGAACTGAATGAACACTTTTCGCATCTGTTATGCACACTAGCAATCACTCTTACCACTCTTGTAGATTTATTTGAATTTTTTTAAGGCATTGGTACAGAATAATTACTATAATAACCAGTGAACCACACCATGTCCCATATTCTATAGGAATTTGAAAGCAACTGTTCCATCTCTGCAATATCCCTAGTGGCTAGCCGGTTTGATTAGGAGTGGGAAGTCAACCATGAATACAAGCAGTAAGAACCTGAGCACTATGTTCTCCAGATACATCTTAACGACATATTCCACCATTCACCTTCTTACATCTAAGCAGCTCCCATTGTCTGAAGCTTGCATGACATTACTTTACCACAGTCACAATGCCATGTGCCCTGACCAAATTTGAAAATACCGCCTGGATGGAAATAAGTGAAAGCTGAATAGAAATAAGCAAACACACTTACCCCTGCTGACTGTGTAGTCCTCCTATGTCCGACATCAAGCGTTGCACCAAAAAGTTTTGCTCTGTCTGCTGGATTTCGACAGCTTATAGCCTTGAAGGACAGAGGGCTGATGGGGCTGCATGATGCTGAACGGGGACAAATGGGGATGACTGGAGTGTGGGATCCCCCCCCCATTATATATGTGTAAACAAAACAGCAGTGGTGTTATGAAAGGTGAGCCAAGAGAAGGTAACAGGACAAGGAAGGAAGGAAGGAAGGAAGGAAGGAAGGAAGGAAGGAAGGAAGGAAGGAAGGAAGGAAGGAAGGAAAGGAAGAAGACATTAATACATGCAGAAGATAAGACACACTTAACCCAGAACCATCACTTGATTGTCTGCTGAGAATTCCTTGCTAAACTTTAAAAAGATCTGTGTCTTGGCACACAGAAACACATCAAGAGAATTAAATTCCATAATAAATGTAGCATTTCATCAGATAGAGTTTTATGGAATAATTTTTTTAAAAGAAAAAAGGAACTAGAAAAAAATCCAGTTTATTTCTTCTGTTGAATGTTTGCATCTGACATAATGCCTTGTGGGTACAGACATGGTACAGTTAAACTGCCTTCACCATTTTCTGTAAGTATTTACACACCCATATAAATACTAAGATTAATCCAGTGATTCAGTAAAGTCAGTAGTTTTAGACACCAGTTCAGAACTCGAACTTGTGCCCTGTAAAGTCACGGTCGGAAGGAAGCATTTTGAAATATAATCCCACTTGATGAAATCTGCAGATACCAAATATATGCTTTGTGTTTGCAGAATAATATATTCAGTTCAAGTAACGAATTCTTATTTCTGTGTAAGTTGGCCCATCTACTATGGGGAGACCCTCAAAGATCTTGCCTTAAAAAGAAACTATGAAGTGATGGTTCTGATAATGTATTACTGAATTTAAAACTACTGGTATGAACAGATTGGCTTATAGATTCACATTTCTAGTAGATTAGTATTAACATGCCCAAGAAGAGTCAAATCAATTTTGTGTACTAGGACTAGGTTTGTAAGAAGAGGCCCACAAGAAAGAAAGAGAATTATTACAGACACCAGATATTAGCATAGATGATACATCAGATCTGATTAGGGTTGCCATTCCTGTGGCCGTGATGGGGAAACCCTTGATTTTCGGGGCTTCAGCCTGCTGCTGGCCAGCTGGCCAGGATGGGAAGCTCCACCCCCAAACAGGGACAGGGATGTTGTGCAATGTCCCTGGCACAATGACATCGAATGGAAGTGACGTCAACATGCAGGGGACACGCTGGTATCTGGGCAAACTCTATGGTGACATCATCATGCCAGGGACATTGCACAGTATCCCCGCCCCCCACCAGAACGCACCCCACTGCAGCCACAGCAAGACCTGGCAACCCTAGTTCAGATATTAGCATAGACGATACACCAGTGTCAGTAGAGCAGTAGTACTGTATTTATTTATTTAGAACATTTTTATGCTGCCTCTCCAGGAATTTACTCTTGGCAGCTTATGAAATAAAAACTAAGCATGATTAAAATCCAGCATTTAAACCCCCCCAGCCAAGCATAAAAACATAGATAATAAAAACAGACCAGAGACAGTTTAAAATAACAGTTCCCACACAAAAACTGTGGTTGGTTTTTTTAAAAAAATCAATCCCTTATATAAAAGCCTGGGTGAACAGAAAGTTGTGTAGGTGCCAGGGGAGCCTCAAGGAGGAGGGCATTCCACAAGCACAAGTGCCACTACAGTCACCTCTGAAGGTGGAGGCCCAGAGAGCAGGGCTTGTAAGGCAGATCTGAGCTGTAAGGCCAGACAGTATGGGAGGAGGCAGTCTTTCAACTATCCTGGCCCCAAGCCCTTAGGGCTTTAAAGGGAAGAACCGGAACAGTCCTTCACATAAACACCCTGTTTCAATGGCATGCATGGAGCAACTAGAACAGGGTGTCCCAAGTCTTTTTTGAGAGAACTCCAACCAATCAGGTGTTTAAGGGAGGATGAGCAGGGGAGGTACCGATTCAGCTCTGCGCACTCCTCAAGCTGTCACCATCCAAGATTTAAACTTTTAAAAATCAGATTAGGGAGCACAGTACTGGCTGCTGGATGGAGATGGGGCTCTGCACTCAGCATTAAGTTTCATGCACAGCTCCTTTCTCAGTTAGTATCCCTCACTGTGTGAGGCTTCAAGTATACAAAATCAATATATATTTACAATAATTCAAGTCCCTGTCCCAGCCTGAAAAATGACAAGTCAAAGCTTTGTTCAAGCTGAAATAATGTCTCATGTGTGTAAATTATGCACTCTACATTATTCCAGCATGGAAATGAATTTATACCAGATTAATACAGCAGCCAACAATTTGTAAACACATATTAGGGAGTGCAGAATTATGGGGTGGGGAGAGAGAGGCTGCTGAA